CGAGCCTTGGCTTGTTCACCTATCACAGTGCTGTATGTTCAGGGCAAGTCATCCTCAATGTCCGGCTGCCTCAACTGCTTCTCCACCCCTCTGGGGAAAGAGGGCAGACTGAGGGGGTCGCCCACATGTCTCCCACGAGCCAGCAGCGTCATTTCCACAGCAGAGGGGTCGTCTCGACGCTCCAGTGTAAACAGCGACTGCAGGGCGAAGGCTGACCTGCTGTCCGTACAGGTTTCAGAGGAGAGCCATCAGGAGGAAGAACCAGGTCAACTCGAACTAGAGACAAAAAACAGTGAGCCCATTCCTCCAGTCAAACCTCCCAGAGACCCAACCGCTGTTGTCCCCACAGATGAACCCAAACCCCCCGTGCAGGAGTCACTTCTGGGCTCCTCGTTCACTTTCAACTCTGTCTTCTCTAACACAATATTCAGCGATTCTGTGGTTCCAACCATGAGCAGTCTGGATGCCCTGGACAACAACCAGACAATCCTCGGTCTGAATCCAGATCTGGGGCAAAACTGTCCACCTGAGACAACGAAAACGCTGCAGAACGAGCAGAGACTAAATGTAAAACGTGACGCTGGGCTGGAGAAGGACAAGACGCTCACGGTTGCACGGAAGTAGCTGTCAAACGATTCAATATTGTGTAGGAAGGTCACTTTTAATCTCGTCAACCGAAGCACACAATTATCTGTTTCCATTGTATTCCATCTGATTATACAGCTATGTAAGGTGTAAAAAAAAAGGTGTTTTGAGTTGTGATTTTTCTCCCACACAGCTTTAGCTCATATAACACCTGAGTATTAGTTCAAGATATTCACAACATTATCTTTATCCGTTCGGTCTCTTTGCACACATTATGTTTGATATAAGTGAATGACGTATGGATAGATTTCCCTATTTTGCCCGTTATTAATTAGGTTGTTGTTCGGACTCGAGCCTGTTTTTTAATTTTATTTTACCACACTGACAATCCTGTTATGTATATTTGTGTTTGCCAAAAATATTTTGTTAATTACTGTCGTTTCTATTTATGTCCTGTTACTATAAATGAACTGTTAAGTTATTATATGATTTCTGTACTGTTAGACTTTAATGTGAGCCTTGGGGAAATGTGACATTCACATGTGAAAAACTGTAAATCTTGTAAAATAGGATGTATACCTGAATGCTATTTTCCCTTAAATAAACAAACCCTCTACGTAAACATTCGATTTGTCATTCTTTTATTCAATTAAAAATGACACTGCCATTAATGCCGAAAAGCACCTTGCTGAGTAAATATGTTGATTGAAGAATTGAATGCAAGTAGTTTGAGAAAGATGTTGTGGGTTTTTTTGGACCATTAAATATATACATGTAGCAAATATGGGTGCTGATTTCCATATTATTCTTATTCAAGGGTTTTACCCATCTACGGCCATCTCATGTTATATTGCATATATTATATTTTATGTTATTTGTTGGTCAAATTAAATCAAGTGTGGTTCATTCTCCATCTTGTTTTTTTCAGATTTTATTAAAGCAAAAAACGAGAAAAAATGTTGTTCCTTTACCAATAAATGTGTATTATTATTAATATTATTATTATTTCTATCAATTGAATTGAATGAATTATTTGTAATTATAATAGTCTCATTATATTTTAGTATTACTATCATTGTTGGTTTCTTATTATTACTAACGGTGCAGTGCAGGAGCTCTTGTGCCCACTCAGTGTTCCCATTCAGTGTTCCCATTGGATGACAGGTCAGTCACGTGAGGCAGTACGGAAGTAGACCATTTTCGGCCAAAAACCAAAACATTCGTGGGTGGTGTTTGAGTTATTCAATCTGGACTGACGTTACTCAGCTCCACTGGAGTGGTTCCGCAGACTGTGCCGCATCACTCGACAGCTTTACCCGGGGCCTGGTACGATGCTGAACGCCGCCGCCGCGGAGAGGAACAAGGAGCCCATCCTCGCGGTGCTCCAGGAGAGCGTGAACACCGGGAGACACCTGCAGGCTCTGGAGATCTCCTCCGGTACCGGGCAGCACGTCACACACTTTGCCCAGTCCCTGCGGAATATCGTCTGGCAGCCTTCAGAGTTTGACCGCCAGTCTCTTGCAAGGTAAACGCAGGCTGTGTGTTTCAGTTAGTACATCAAAATACCGTATTAACAGCATTACTCGGTTATTACGGTAATAATAATTCCTGCGTAGCTAATTTAAAGAAAGGCATTGGCCATGCATCTGCAGTATTACGGTAGTGTATTAAATACTTCTAATGCAGGGCTGTGTTTTTTGGGGGTCTGCTTGCATTCACAATAATGCCTTTTGTTCCCATTCTCAGTATCGAAGCGTACAGAGCACACTACCAGCTGCCCAATGTGAGGCCTGCCATCCACCTGGATGCTTCTCTGCCCTACCAGTACTGGGGGGGCATCCCGCCAGAGAGCATAGATCTGGTGGTCAACATCAACATGATCCACATTTCTCCCATGGCTTGCACAGAGGTAGGAGGACAGCTGGTGTTATAGTTGCTCGATACACTGCGTCCCAATACCAATTCTACCACAAGTGAAGACAGATTTAGATTTAATGTATCCTCCCAATACATTTTCCAGTGCAGACATGCCTGGGTGTCCTAGTGCAGCAGTGCTTCTCTGGCTATACTGAACCACAATCCTTTGCACAGGGAATATTTAATCAGGGTCAAGGTTCACATTCCTATGCTATTACAAAGCAGTATGACCCGAAAGTATGTGATGTGCTTTAGAAGGTAGCCACAGTGTTCAGATTGGATTTATCAAACCCAACGACCAAAGGACCCAGTCCGGGAATATCCCTGAATAAAACTGAAATGGTATTATTTCCTAATATTGAGGCCCTATGTTTTCATGGTGACTATTTCTTAAAAGAAAAAAAACTGCTAATAAGATTTAGAAAACAATAATGTGTAAGCACAATATAGTAATTTGAGACATCATTTTACATGCATTTTTCCCACTGTGAATAATTTGTGCCCCGGAGATAAATCTATTTAGGCCTCAATTTACTGCAAAAGTGCAATAAATGCAGGAACATTTCAATAAATTGGGGTAACAAATGATATTTTCTGCACACAAATGTATAGATTGTGTACTTGAAATATATATTTGATCTCTCTATGGCCACTCCTGGGTTTTGTGGTGCAGATCGAGTTAAAATGAAGTTAACAAGTTTGTTTTATAATTCTTAAGTATTTATGACTTAATTATTATCATTATTTGTAATATTTTAAGTAAGTATTAAAGTGTTGTATTTGTCAAATGCAAAAGAAAATCAAAATATACCTGCTTTATTACTCATAATGATTGACCACTATTGAGCAACATTGGCTTATAAATTCAACTTCAAGTTATTTTATAGTTTATTTTACATCAACTTTTACAGTCTGGCCATGGTTTCTAGTTTCCATAAAGTGGAGATATTTCAGTGTAAGTCCCCTAGAGTGTATCTGCAGTATGAACCCTTTGACCTAAGATAATAACTGCCCTTTCTACTATTCCTGCCTCGGGTCTTTTAGTCTATAAAAGAGATCAGGAACATAAAGTAATCCCCCCTGCCACTCAACCCCCACTGCGTGTGATCACTATTTTTCTCCTAGGGTTTATTCAAAGGGGCCGGAGCAGTGCTGAAGCCGCAGGGTCTCCTGATGACATACGGGGTGAGTGAAAGACCATGTTGTCATAAACATGCACTTACCACATTCATGACATGTTATGAAATCTAAACATAAAAGAGTGCCTGTAAATTCTACTTAACATGTTTTCTTGTTGCCCTCAGCCATATGCGGTGAATGGGCAGATCGCGCCTCAAAGTAATATTGACTTTGACTACAGCCTACGGCAGAGGTAAAGTGTTCAAAAACATATTTTTAATGCTTAGCCTAAAGCTGTTTATAAAGGATTGGTCTCAGTATTTTCTGGTCAAAGACATGGACAGCCAATGTGTTTCACTTTGACATAAAGTAGCATCTGTTTTTCTTTAGAGAGAGGCATCAATAATCATTTTAAAGAAGAATGCAATAAACTTCAGCAAATTGGTTCCTACTACTGAATGTTTGAATTAAAGATATTCTAAAAGATGGTATCTACAAAAAAACTAAAATGTTTATAAAAAAACTCTGAACATGAATAATGTAATCATTTGTGTTTTTATTGTCTATATATGTTGCAAGTCTGGGGACCAATATCTAAAGTAGGATAAGGTCACTGAACAATTATTTTTAAATGGTCACCGTTAAACTTCATGTCAAGGATTATGGATAGAAATTGTCCCCAGATTAAAAATTCAACTATATTTAATGAAAATGACATGGCAAAGCTCATTTATTTTGAAAAAAGTTATTGCTACAAACCATTTCAAAGTGACACAAATAAACAAAAATAATCTAGTGGGAACTGTATACATTATATATATAAGTACATTTTAATACAAATGTATTTACCTGACTTATATATTTCAGTTTGAAAATGTATTGCCACTATCTACCTAATCATTTGATTTACTGAAGGAATACAATTTAGTTTATTTTTATTATTTATTTTTCCTTTCTTTCTTTTGAATGTTTGTTCCTAATTTGATTGAGGGCAAATTGTTATTTCATAATTTAGTTGTATTTGTTATGTGTAATATTTTGACTGTATTAAAAATCAATAATAATGCAAAGGTGACTGTATGCCTTTTAATTGTACAGGAACTCCGAGTGGGGACTCAGGGATATCTCCTTCCTCGGTTCTATAGCAGAAAAAAGTGGTTTATTCCTGGAGAAAGTTGTGAGTATAAAGCTCATTCAAACATCATAAACAAACAGTGCAGTTATGGGATTACTGGTTTACTAAAGTCTCGTTTTTTAATCTTTTCCTTTCCAGATGGACATGCCTGCCAACAACAAGTGTCTTCTGTTCAGGAAAGAGAGTTTGGTGTGAAGTGTCCTAAGGTCCAGTGTGTGGAGCACAACGGTCCAAGCGCCTTAACCTACACTTGAAGCTCAGATACATTGCCAAATTCTCCGGAACTTTTAATAAATTGTTTTCCCATATTCTGGTACACATTGACATCAACGCAATTGTTTACTCAGACCTGACATACTACTCCATCTACTCTATTATATTCTTATGTATTGCACACTTGAGTAAAACATGCTCACTGATATGATGTCTTTGTACTTTTTTTTTTACCTCCATACAGCCACCTACTCCTTTCTATTTCTAAGTTAGCAGAAGTGCTTTGCAGAGGGAGATACTCAAAAGAGAACGTGCTGCTTATAAGATATTGAAATCATTCATAACAAACTATATATAACACCTATGTAAAAAAGACTGGCTAATATAGAATAAAATGTATACAATTTCATAGAAAAACATAATGAGGTAATATAGACGTCTAGCTAAGCATTTTTACAAGTTGATGCTTTTGTATGGCTTTACTTCTGCCTACTATTCTATTTTTCAATAACATGAAGAATACATTTATTAAAAAAAAACATCTATATTTGATCTTATTTAAAAAGAACATAATAACATTGGTATTATTAGGCTCGCAGCACACCTGGAATGTAGTACAACCTCTGTTGTAATTAATATATATACAAGATATCTCATGTCTTAATTTAAGGAATACTTCCCCGACAAAATAAAACATGTGTTCATCAATGACTCACCCTGTGCTGATTAGAATTCTTGAACAAAAGTTTGTTCATCCCACAAGCCTTCTCTGTGAAATTAAGTTACAAAAACGTTCAAGGTAACACAGTGTGAGAAACTGATGGTCATTTTGAGGGGGAAATATTCCTTAAACCTACAGTATTTTAACAAAATGTTTGTCTTTTGATTTCAAGACTCATAATTAAATATCAGCTTTTCTTGTTGAAATCCTGGTTTCAGTGCTTAAGGTGAAGGTGACCCCAGACAAGTCTGACTCCTGGGATTTCTATACACAGGCCTTTTTTTTCAGAACATCACGTAGCTTCTTGAGTCTGCGTTCAGTGATGACTCTGACGTAGCTGTCTGATTGGATGATGGCAATGCCGTCCTGCACCACACCCATCACCAGCAGAGGGTTTTCCTCCATGGTGATGTTAGGACACGGACAGCTCCAGTCTATCTTGGCGATGGTCACCTCCAGGTGCTTGGTATTGAAGAAATTCAATCCCATCTTTTCATCTCTCAGGACCTCCTCCAAGCTAAAGCGAGCTAACCCAGAGTCCAGATCCTCCACCAGCTCTGTCAGCCGCCCCACAATAGCAAAGTCACTCCGGCACAAGCTGGGCACCATTCTCCCCTTCACCCGACAGGCCTTGCAAGGTTTCTTTTTGGCCTGTGGGCAGTTGGCCTCGCACTCCTTCTTGCTGTTGAAGCTGTTGGCATTCCCATGGCAGCCGCCGTAGGCAAAGGCCTGGCACTGTTTCAGGACAGAACTCCAGGCCCAACGTGGCTCCCAGGATTTGCAGGGGCCCTGGACAGCAGGCAGGAAGCAGATGCCCATCCCCTCTCTCTGACAGGAGGCCTTGCACTCCTCGTAAGTCTCGAATCGGTTGCGGCTATCATCGCATCCGCCGTTGCTGAAGGCCAGGCAGGTGCTCAGCTTGCCGTCGTAAAACCAGTCCACGTGCCGCTCGCTGCTGCACACTCTCAAGTCTACGGGAGCCAGGCAGTCTGCTGGCGAGAAGGGCCGCCCCATGGGCATCTCAGGGTCTTCAGAGAAGTCGTCAAGTCCCCGGCGAATCACGGACAAAGGGTAGTCTGCTCGAAGAACCCCTGCTGAGTTCCGCGCAATGCAGGTGTAGATACCTGTATCCCACACCTGGGCGTTGTAGATGACGAGCTGACCGATGTTGGTGATGACCACGTTGCCGTACATCTGGTCGGGCCTCATGACCAGCTGCTCACGCCGTTCGCTCTGCTTCTCCCATGTTACATCAGGTTTTGGGGATCCAATCACATCACAATGGAAGCTCACTGTGCCTCCTACGTAGACAGATTGTTGGTGTGGGTTGGAGTACAGCATTGGGAACATGGGGTCTTCCTGGGAGGATGTAGGGGTCGGGTTGGCCGTAGTGTCCTGAGGCAGTGGACTGGTGGGGGGCCCGGCCAGGTAAAAGCGGCAGGGGACCACGGTTATTGTCACCCCGCGGATGCAGGCCTCTGCGTCCATGTAGCAGCGGTTGAAGTAGGTGAGGCCATCTGAGGCGCAGGTGAAGTTGGGCTCTTTCTCACACCGGTCCTGGCACTTGCAGATGGGTTGTCCCAGCCAGATGCCACAGGTGGCCCCTTGCTGGCTGCAGATGAAGCCCTCGCAGGTAGCTGTGGAGGTGGGGGCTTCAGTTACTCCTTCTTCTCCATCTGGCTGGGCAGGAGTGCCATCGGAGAAACGTGCAGCTACACAGCTGTTGAGACCACACACGTTGGTGCAGCATTTCTCAAAATCAGCACAGTCCTGCACACACAAAACAGCATTTATAAAATCAGATTTAAATGTAAAAAAAAAAAGTAATAAAATAATGATTATTAGTTTATCAAAACATAAATAACACCACCTCGTCAACGTTGCATTCCCTCTCGCAGGTGCTTTGCGCATCAACCCAGAGGTTGGAATTCAGCTTGTTGGGACAAAATCCTTCGTGTTCAACTTTGGATCCTGCCACACTTGCACACAAAGAAAGTTCGGGTAATTTGCAAATCAGGAGTATCAACAAACACGCACGAATCCATCCTATTTTATTTGTGTTTGGTCCATTAATATCCAGACGTGGATCCTGTATGCATCTGTGCTCCAAAAGTTGTAAAGGGATTTTAAACATTATTGCTCTTTTGCATGAGTCCCCCAGCGAGTAAATCCATTCCTCCTTTTAAGTCTTGAAATTCTGAAGTCGGTTTTCAAATGTAGCCGTCCGTTTTGTGCGTAAACATTATGGAAGTCAGGTTTGTCTGTGTGCGCACAAAGAGTTGTAGAAATCCCGAAAATCAACACGGGCTCCCCATCCGCTGAAAAAAATAAATCCCAGAAAAGCGTGTAAAACATGCACTCGGGTTGCATGCAATATTTGCCTTGAGAAACAAAACAAACCTCTTGCAACAATTGGACAAACTCTCATTCAGGTCGATTTCCACCGGACAGCGAAACAAGCGAACGGAACGGCACAATGAGAGTGAAAGACGCAACATCAGTCTTTCAGAGAGTGAATGGAGGTGGAAAGGGCAGCCCCTCTGACCGCCCCCACGATCGTCCAGTGTCTGAAACTCTTATGAAGCAACACCATGCGCTAAGCAACTGGACAAACATTGTAAAAACATCAAAGAAAACGTGGAGCCGTGGTGACAAGCTGTCCCAACAACCGTGCTCAAGGAGCTACACATTCCGGTGAGACATCCAACGTTAAATGCGTCCAGACAGCATTTATAGAGGTGTCATTCATACATAAGGAAATTAGCCTGTTATCTGGCTGTTGGGTGTATTGTCATTTTCGGTTATAATTACGCATTCCCGGAGGTTTTACGCACGGAAAACGTATGCATATGCAAGTTTTCCTAGTGTAAAATCACATTTTAAAACAGAAATTAGTCGTCTGGGGGGGAAAGCGTGTAAAACAAACATGGGGCGTGTCGCGTCTTGTCTGGCAAAACATGTTGTTTACGTCCTCTTGTCTAGACGTCGGTCACTTTAGCACCGTCGCGCATTCACACGGGACAGAGAAGCCGCGGTCAGGTGGGAAGGCGTAAAGCGTCCACTTTCTTCAATAGTGGGCGACGCATCTTTGTCCCCACGCGGCTCCGAGGCGATGAGAAGCTGCACCCCCCCATCTTTTCATTGGAAGTGACCCTGCAACCTTTGGGTGACTTTTGACCGCGCTGCATTCATGCGCTGCAGCGACGTGCCCGGTTATCCAAAAAATCTGGCCAATACCGAGGGAGGGATAATCAATTCTACCCACCCCCCCGAAAAAAGGGTTTTATTGCACTTGAGCACCGGCGACCCCCGAACTGGACAAAGGGGTACAAAATATATTCCCACAAAGATAAATGAATGAAAAAAGATTCATGGCAGAAACCTTTTAGTAATATCTTTACCCTTTATTTAGGTGGTTGTCTGTTTTCAATGGAGTCACAATTGTATGCAAACACACAGTTCTGATAGCAACAGTCATTACCAAACGTTTACATATAGTGCTTTACATTTCCATACAGCGCCAGTAGAAAACATGCACCACATTTTTTTGTATGCCCTCAATGAGCGTATCAGACATTAAGCCATGACACTAGGAATGTTGGAGTGGAAGTATAATACGCTAAATCAGAGGTGGAAAGAAAATTGAGAATTTAAAAGTATAAAAGCGTTTTGTTCGGATTATTTAAAGAAACAATATTTTTGATTTAAAGTCCAAGACTTTCCGTAGTCATCTGACATCCTGTTTCTCCACAGTAAACAATTCTAACCCCTCCTATTGTACACATTATGAGGGTTGGAATGAAATTACAGTACAAATACTCAAAACGTGTTAAAAGTATTGCGATAACTTTCCACCTCTGATTCTTAGTTACCGCACGGCCACAGCAAAGTAGCAGAAGAGTAATGTTTTACATTCATAAATACATTGCATATAAAAATCCCCAAAAAGCAATCCATTAAAAAATATTCCTCTGACCAAGGTGAATTTACAATGTACTGCTAAGACACAAGATCACTTCCCAAAGGCTCCATCTGTACGTTTGTGTTTGTTCAAGGTTTCCTCATCAGCACCATCAATCTCTGGAAGTTCCCCCAAAAAGTGAAAACTCTGATAAATGATCATGCTGCTGAAACCAGTTAAAGTGATAAAGCTGCAACTAAGAATATTAGATTAAGAAAATGGCCTGAGAAAGTCAACAGATGTCCAAACCCGATGAGAACGGAGGGTGAATTCATTTGGGCTGGAATTAAAACGGGGCACCACAGGGAGTCTGTAAAAACGAGACGACAGTGTCGTTATTTATTTGTAATCCTGTATTAGTCTGTCTGGTAAACTAGTTTCTCATGACATTCAATTCAAACCTCATTTAAAAACAAATCTGATTTTAAATAAGCACCCTTAAAAAGGAGTTTTCCATGAAACACAAATAAGTTGAACACCGAAAGCAGGGCTCCCAAAACATTCAAGACAAAAACAAGCATAAACTGGATCAAATCACCATCACAGACCAAAACAACGAGCACATACAGCTTATTTACAACTTTAAATACGATAGATCCTTTTTCATAATAAAAGATAGCTGACATCCCTCTACTCATGTGTAAACAGGTGAGCCGTGCTCCCTAGATTCACATCTGTCGGTCCCAGGGGTAATCTGGTTTTACTTGATCATAGCGAGCCTCTTTCAGTCAGGAGTACGGGTAAACGGAACATCCACAAGACGTCCCAGCACGTCCCAAAGAAACCAATGCAAGTCCACAAAGGACAATGAAAGTTCACAGCTAAATCTGTTCCTGGTGAAGACTGCTGGTGGCTCTCCGTGCTCCTTTATGGCCTTCGTGACCTCTCGGAGCAACAACACATTTATAACTTTAACCGCTAGTCCTCTCCTTCACTATGAGATCTTACAGTTCCCCTTAGAGGACGAGCTCTTCGGAGGACTCTGCGGAGGCCGGAAGGACTTGGAGCGTTTCAGACCGTTAGCTTTGCTACCGCCACCGCTGCCGTTAGCGCCCGACGATGCACTGTTGGCCACCGAGTACGAGCGTCCGTGCATCATGACCGCGTTCATGCCGTTGGCCATGGAGAAAGACTTGAGGTGGGACTTGATGGCGACGGGGAGGGGCAGCTTGTCAATGAGGTACACGGGGGTGCAGGAGACGATGGAACGGCAGCACAGGTCCTGGAGGCTGAAGACTGTGGGGCGAAGAAGAAGAAGAAATGTGGACGTTATGACTCGATGTTATGTCACAATAACCTTAAGTTAAATACTCAATACTCTTCAAATACGTTTTCAGATAGCTCAAACTTTTATTTGGACCATGGCTGCACAATGTAGAAAAAATAACTAATTACAGTTATTTGGAATGATATTTCAACTGCGATATGTTTGCACTATGAGAGGGAAAAACGACTTTTGAAACATTACTCACAGTATCATTGAAAAATATTTTTAAAAGATAATGTGATTTTATTAAGAGGATCCGTACCAAACGAAGATTTTCCCTTTAGCCTGTAGAATACTGTTTGTAGGCAGGCACCTCTCTGCAGCATCACACCTTTTAATTAATGATATTTTCACATATTTTGCCTATAACGAAATGTTCCTTTACTGCAATTTAGTCATGCATACATCCACACTGCAAATTTGATACAATTCCAATGAATCGTTCAGCTCTATTCTTTGCCCACCTAACCCTTATATCCACATTACTGATTAGTTATCACAAAACTAATTGTGTAAATAAAAGTAAAATGTTGATTTATTGTGCAGCCCTAATGTGGGCATCACAACAAAGGGAACATTTAGCTGAGGCACTCCGCCAGATACAAATATTTGCTCCTGCACATTTAGAATGATTTGCTTCTTATCTTATCAATATTTAAGCTTTGTTTTATTTAGCTGAGTGAATTTTATTCTTCCTTTTCTTCCAGGCCCTTCTTATGTTCCCGAACAATTCAGTTGAAAATAGCTTACATGAACAAACACGTTTGTCTTATAGGAAGATAAATTAAAAAACAATAATGTATAGATCTTAAATATTTTTAAATAACATGATTTTGGCAATAATCTTGTAGTTCCAACCTGATGTCATACGACATTTGCTCTACTCATGTGTTGCCCCAGATTAATGCAATATGGGCAAGCAATAAAACAAATATTCCGAAAGACAAAATATATTATATAACTATTATATAGTTACAGAGGCTGCTTCTCTGTTAAATTTAGATTTCTTCTCGGACTGACAGAGCGAGGGGAAAGTGGATACTCAAGCGCCACACATAAAACGCGGCATTGTGAAGGACATTTTACTAAACAACTGATAAACATATTTTATTTAAGGCTGTACAATCAATCACATTTGATCAAAACTTCAATATGGACTAGTCGGTTCATTATGTCACAGGAAGCACAATATTTGTTTAATTCTGAATATGTGCCATGTTTAATTAATTATTGTAGAGCTCAAATATATCGCTCCAATATTGTGGGGTAAGGGTTGGTCAAAATATTTACAATTACGACCTTATTTCTAAAACACTCAAGAGCAGTGTGTCTTTTCAGAAATAATGTCCAGGTCACTATGTAATCCAAATGCTTTTGAGTCTGTCAAATACACTTCTGAAAATTGGACGAATGCAATTTTAACATCCTTCATCCGTTTTGTCTTTTGTGTCATTTATCTCAAATTGAGAAAAACAATGCATTCATAATCTGCCATAACTGCTATTTCAAACCAGCTCACCTCTGTTGGGCCTCCAGAACTTCTCCATCCCGTGCCTCATCAGCACAATGCGTGAAAGTTCTGTGAAGGACTCGATGACGTTGAAGTTGCACAGCGGGCTGACCTCAAAGAAAGTCATGCTGTTCTTCTCCGCGTAGGCCCTGGCCTGCTCTGTGGGCACCTGCCGCTTGAAAGCCAGGTGAAGACGATTCCCCACCAGGATCCTGGGCACACCTGGCGCATGCTGTTGGAAAACAAAATGAGTTTCTAAAAACAATGTTACATGCTATCTCGTAACCTATTCATGCAAGACCCTTTGAATGTCCTTTAGTGAAAGTGTTCTCTGGATTTGGTCAATCACATATCTGGCAGAAAACTGAGTTTTTCTATCAAACTGTAATCTTTGGGCATATGGGACTACAGTTTGGTCCTATATATTTCATTATATTTTATGAAAAAAACAGCAGTCCCATGTGCCCCAAGACTAAATATAGAATAAAAAATGTTATTAGAAATATTAAGAAATGGGTGTATCTCAAAGACTATGAGGAGAATAACAACTTGATTATGAAATCACACGTATGCAGTGAAATAAACAGTTCATATGGAAGAAGTTTAATTAACACAAACAGTTGTCTAACTTTTCAAACATTCTGCATTTGAAAATTGATACAAAAAATATTTTTCCTGTGATTCAAAAGGTAGTTTTATTAGATACTTGCCCAAAGTATTTCCTACCATATTTCAAGACTTCAGACCAATCTGAGTACGGGTTGCATATTTAAATATAGTATTTTGGAGAAAAAAATAAAGCCATTGCACTAATAACTATCTTTCTTTGCAGATGAATGCAGGTGCATTTCCTTTGTTTCAAGCAGAAATGTATGGCATTACCTCGTCAATTTCTCGTATCCAGCGGTCAATGCCATCAAACGACCAATTGTTAGTGATGTCATACACAAGCAAGATCCCCTGTAAAATAAAAAAACAAACATGTAGCTACAGTACATTTGTATACATGTATACAGAATCACATAATGAAGGGAAACACAGAAAATGCTCTGCAAGTCGTCACCTGTGCTCCACGAGAGTAAGACCTGAAGATGGTGCAGAACCTGCCCTGCCCAGATGTGTCCCTGTGGAAGACACACGGACATGTAGAGTAAGCACACTAACATGCTATGGGACAGTCACTTTTGCCTCATTGTTTATTGCTTTTAAACACTTACCATAACTCTAATTTCACTCTTTTGCCATCAAGCAGGATAGTAGTTGTCTTGTAATCAATGCCTGAGAGTAAATACACAGTTATTTAATGTGAGTCAGTCCAGTCTTTTAAATCGATTTCTAAACAGCTGGGAACAAATAGATAGTTCCTCACCACTGCTGTAGGCATAGGGAGACTCCACTGATCCGTCTTGTAAACTTTCCAAGATTTCTCCCTTCCCAACATCGCTATCTCCCACCAAAAGGAATTTCAGGAGATAATCGTAACTCTTCACTGGACTACTCTGGGTCCCCATAATCCCGCGCATTGGGTCCAGTTCAGAGAGAGCCTTTGCAGCTCACCAGAGGTCCACTCTTCGGGGAAAGGGACAAACCAGACGTTCCCTAACAGTGGTAGCTAAAGCTAGGCGACCGACGTTTGACGTTAGCTGCTACACTACCCACGATTTACATTAACTATGTATTATGTAAACTCAGACACAAATACAATGGTGTCCTGGTCAACTTTACAAATACGCCTTTCAATGTACGTTATCGGCAATTAAAGCCGAGTCTACTCTAGACACCGTCAATATGATGGAACGCTTACAAAAATAACCAAAACAACCTTAACTAGCTGTTAGCTTGTTAGCTAGCCAGCTAATGCAAGCGACAATGACGCATTCTAGCACAAACAGTCGACACGAGGCTGTTTAGTTCCACAATAAACGATACTCTACCAGATCAAATGTGACTGTTTTCAATTTGTTAGAAAGAATAAAGCCTAAAAGAGATATTCAGCGTCCAAGCCCAACGTCTATGTGGACTGTGTTGGAACTTCCTGGTGTTGATGACATCATGAGCTGCGTCCCATCCGGGGTGGGATTAACCAAATAAAAGAAACGCAACAAAACATATTTTAGAAAATATAAAATGATTAAAGGCCAACATGTTATTTATTTATTTATTACCATTACCCAACATTCTCACTAGTAAAACTATTCCTTATCTGCCTCGTTTTTTAATTTGATTGATATTTATGATTTATGAAATTACATTGAGGCCCTTAAATGTATTAGTCAACAGATAATAAATCTGATCGTGGATTATTTAAAAATAATTTAGTAAAATAAATAGGATTTGCAGCTTTTCATTAAAGCTTTATTGTAATTGTATGTCTCAATGTATTTAATCTATAATACTAATGCAAGGTTCTTTCTCTTTTACACAAAATAAAAATGGTGCAATTAATGTATGGTATTTGACCCTCACTTTATGTATGTTTTATTTACGTTTATTATTTATTTTTTCTGTAGCCCCGGACAATTCTCCCTCAATAATATAATACATTAACCGTGCTTTACGTGAACCTCATCATGACACAAGAGAGGACGGCAGGACTGTAATTTCCCGTGTTCAGTGAATGCAACAGAGGCATGACACCAGACCAATCAGAGAGTTGCATGGAAATAAACGTGTGCTTGTGTCATTCAAGCTCGGCTCTGTGTGTGTGTGTGGCAATAGCGCATTTAGTGTGATAGAGAGAGAGAGGGGGAGAGAGAGGGAGGGAGGGACCGGTGCCAGCAGGGACCGTGTTGTTAGCATCTGGTTAGCTAGCTGCACTAACGGACATAAGGAGCTGTTTGTTCCACAACAAGCTGGAGGAGAGTCCTCTCCTCTCAGACTGAGAGACTCAGGTGAGCTAAAGGACTCTCTGAGTGTTTAGATACTTAACTTTAGTCTAAGTTATCTCAGTGGGTCTCAAACGGTTTGGTCACAAATTATTCAAAAGATTATTTCCGCGGCACACCTTCATATGATCATTATAGTTATAAAAAAAATAAGAGAATAACGGAAAAACAGTTATGAAATACTATATGGCAGTAAAACAAGAATAGAGTTTAAAAGGGGAGTGATTAGTAAAATATCCATAAAGAAAAAGTAAATCTGTTTACAGTTCTGCTTCATATGGGTGCTGAGAGAGGTATCCATAGATCTCTTCATGTTGCTCTCAAAGTGCACCAGATTGATGCATTTAACTTCAATATTTAAAAAAAAATCTTCCCGGGGGAGCATCCCCCCGGACCCCCCTAGAGGAGGTGAGCCCCCCACTCATAAAAAATACCACTTTACCCCTGCCTATATGCCGTGAGCTGATTATCGAGCCTTCATTGTAACAGTCGTGGGTGTACTGTGTGTGCGTGTGGGGAGTGTTGCAGTGAAAAATGCCACTGCCACTGTGGGCTAAGCCCCGAATGTTTTCAGGTCCAGGCGACGCCCCTGCTCAAGGGGAAGTACAAGTACCTCAAAACTGTACTTAAGTACAGTACTTGATTAAATGTACTTAGTTACTTTACACCGCTGGAGGTGGAGAAAGTATGTAAAACTCTGCAACAACAACAAAGTAAAAGTCCTGCCATTTTTTATCTTCATATTGTAGAATAAAAAAAATGCAACGAGACTTTAAAACAATTCATATCATTCAAGTTATTACCCTGATCAATAACCTTGTTTTAAGCATTAATACCTTTATTATGACATCACTGTATTTGTTGTAATAAACATGTTTTTACATATTTGTTGTTGTTATAAATTGAGTTGCATCTTTTGACTTAAACTTCCTACCTTTTTTCAACATTTGATTCCATTTTATGTTTTTATTTAATGCGTTCAAAATGGTCACACAACCTGATTTTGATAACGTCATGACTTTACTTTCAATAGGATAATATTTTCAACATCGTAGCTGGACATTTCTTTAAGAGAGAAAAAACCCAATAATATAGGAAAAAACCTAAAGACACTGAAAAAAGGGAAAAGTACAATCTTCGTATAAGACAAGCTCCAGTGACTAGTTGTTTTTTTGTTTTCCTTTATTGAGATGGTACAATGTTTTCCTTGTCAAAAGAACGGCAGTATAGTAAAGTGACAGTATTTTGCACACACTTCAATGTATCCAGAAGTGTTTCAAAAGGCATGCTTAATACACAGGTTTTTTAAGTAATACATTTTTCCATTTACAGATTTTCAGGTAGCCTTCCAGCCACACTCCCAGTTCTCCTAAATGTTTTTGGTTACAGCTTCAGTTTTCGGAGCACCTCCTTGGTCAGCTGTTTACTGTAGTGGTTGATCTTCCAGTGTCCAGGCTTCCATCCCAGCAGAAAGCGATGAAAATCTGTCCAGGCATAAACAAACATCTCCCTCCACTCCGTCTCCAGGGCAGCAAAGTCCACATCTTTTTTCACAGATTGCTTCAGTTCACTAAAATAGTAGTCCAGCAGGTCTGGTACCCTCTTTTCACACTGCTTCTCCTCCATGCAGCTTCCTAAAAAATACACAACGTCCTTCATCCCACAGCCTCCTCCCACATACTGAAAGTCTACCGCCGCCACGTCCCGCCCACCTTCCGAGAAACAGAAGTTGGCTAACTTGGCGTCTCCGTGAACGATTGTCTTGAAGCGACATTCGTTGAGGATCTTGTCGATGTCCCCGGCAGCTGCTTTCAGCTCGGGATGGCCCATGGCCTCCAGCTCGTCGGGCCGGGTCTCCAGGTGCCAGTATGTGCCGACGGGCCACAGACCCTCAGGTTCCACCCCCAGGAAGAGAGTGTGGAAGTGGGCCAGCCAGCTGAGACAAGCATTTATTTCTCTGTCCTTCACGCTGGTCCTACAGAGAAAACATCCTTATTTATACAGCATGAAACATTTGTATTCTCTCATAATATCTCACACTTCTCCATGCCGTGGTACAACCTGACAAGCATGTAATATACAGGATGTTGAAGAGGAATGGTCAAAAACAGAGTGCTCACAAGAACTCCCAGATGTTGTTTTGGTTTTATTTTGGTTCTTTGAAAATGGATAATGGTTTAAAACGTTAAAATGCCTTGTTATGGTATTTGCATCTTATTTTATGAGCGGTGAGAAGTATTTGCATGCATACATCATGCACCCAAAGCTTGAAAACACTTTGATTCTCACACTTTTGTATTTGGAAATATGAGTTTTCTTTTTAACATCATGAAGAAGAGGTGAGATAACACGCATTACACATTTTGGTGAGTTTTTAGTGCTTATTTGTATCATATTTTAGTCTAATTTGTATTGTTTTTAAGCAATAACTAAATATGATAAAGGGGTTTTGTATTTCTTCACCTTAATATGTCCTGCGAGTGTAAAAGACATTAGCATTTTTAACAGTATATTTCCACGTATAAGATTTATGACGAGCCACCAAAACGCCTGTATTTTTATTTCGTTTGTATTTCATGAAACCTTATTCCTTCCCCTGTGTGATGGATTATATGTTCTGAAAAGTAACATGCAATGTGAGAATTTTGACCTATGACCTCAATATTGATTTATTTAATCCTGGCTGTTTATGTGGATGTATTTATAACGGAAAGTCTTTGAACAAATGTATGTTTTGCTCAACTGCTTCTCATCTAGGAAATAAGAAATGTAAAACATGATGATTCATTAGATATTAAAGTGACTGTTATTTTGTATATATTGATTGTTGTGCTTTTATTTAGGTCTTAATGTGTGCATATGTATAAATATTTGCACACATATTTGTATATATATATGTGTTTTTGTACTCGGGATTGTGGGAAACGGTATTTCGATCTCTCTGTATGTACACACAAACTGAAAGATTGACAATAAAGTTGACTTTGATATCTATTGCAGAGCTACAGACCGACCAGTATTTCTTACAAAATCTCATACCTCCTCTGATCATACCCGGCCACATCCAGGTCCTCCAGCACGATCAGCATCTCGTCTCCATAGGAACGAGCAGCCAGGCAGGCGGGGGTCCTGCAGCTCTGATTGGTGGAGAAGTTCTGGTACCAGTGAGTCTCCACCTGGTAGGATCTCACTTTACGTGTGTGTGAGCGATCTGTGTTCCAGCCGCCGGGATGCTCCGCCTCCTCTGGAAACTTGACGTGTTTGAGGACCACAGACGGCCAATCAGAGCCCTGCAACTGCAGCCGCACGATCTCCCCGTACCCGCTCCACAGCGTCTGGATCTTTGCCCCCACACACAGGGAAGAGGCCCCGCAGGCCTGCAGGACCAGATCCTGGTGCTCCGGCTTCATCTCCACTCAGAGCTGAAGATGAAGCACAGTGTGTGTTTAACATCTCTGCTCTTAAAGGTCACCTATCATGCAAAATCCACTTCTTCATGTCTTTTCTACATCAACATGTGTCCCCTCTGTGTAAAGAGATTCTGAACGTTTCAGGAAAAAAGATTCTCTCACTTTCTATCCTGATCCATTTATATAAAAACCTGTCTGAAAATGAGCTGATCAGATTTTAGCCACTTTATGATGTCATAACGATGTTTTGGCTTGTGTAACCATTAGCCAATCACCAACCAAGGTAAGGTAACAGAAAGAGAATCAGCACTTTTGAAACAGGGATGAAACAGAGATCTGTTTGGTATTTGGAGCCAAACACTTCAGAGACATATTTTGTATATATCTGATTATATCCTATAATATGTTGATGAAAAACAGTATTATAGGGGACCTTTAACTGGACTTATATTCACACTGTACATTTATTCAAATTCAATTCAAATTCAAAGGTTTAATTGTCATATGCACAAAGCTACAGTGTAGAAATGGCAATGAAATTCTTCTGACCTGAGCTCCTCCAACAATGCAACATATATAATAAAATACAAAAATACAAAATAAAATAAAATAATTGTGCAAGAAGTCTATATACATGTAAATAGAATATGATATGTACAAAAACAGAATATGAAATTAAATAATTGACATTAAGACAAAATTAAATACGGTTTATTGTGGTGATAACTATTCAGATAACATTTATATTGAATTATTATGCCATTCTTTACACACTTGATGCTAATAATATCCAACTTTTATTAACAGATAGTCTACAGATTTGCATCTTTCACGGTCAACTTGTATATCTTTCACTTCTTAGTTCTGTTTCATTTTTATATTGTGAGATGTTTATGGTTATTTTCTATTTTACAATTCAGAGGTAAATCATGTCCTTTTACTCCACTACATGTATTTAATACCTTTAGTTACTTTACAGATGTGGATGAATGATGTGAAATATAATCAAGTGTTAAATCAGACTTTAGTTCCACCTGGAGTAAATTCACAAGCTACCCTGCAGGATACAAAGTCATTCAAACTAGCTGCACCTTTACCAGCTTTGAGAACACTTTCATGATCAATCATTATAAAACATATCATATATATTATTCTGAAATGGACCAATCTGCACGATGACAACTTTTACTTTTGATAATTTAAGTATATGTTGATGCTAATACTTTCCCACTTTTACTTGAGTAACATTTTGAATGCAGGACTTTACTTGTAACAGAGTATTTACACTCTGGTACTTCTACTTTTACTGAAGTACCAGATCTGAGTACTTCTTCCACCTCTGCTTCTTCCATCACTGGGAACAGTAATATCACACACATCTGGAGGATTGTTGGTGTTTGTTATAGTGAGTCACTTAGATTTCCAAGTATACTGGAGATTGGAACAGTACTTCGGCGGCACTCGATGACGTAGTATGCTTGAAATAGTGGCTCTGAAGCAGCTTTACTCGCGATTGAGAAACACCCACTGTGTCCCTCTCATCCTGAATTTGTCTAAATGAAGTCGGCCTGGACACTTTGGGGTCAAAGGGACAGGTGCATGGGCTGACAAAAACGGTCAGTGAGTAAATATAGTATTTATTTACATTCTCAGCAAGAAGAGCAGCCAAAGACACACAGATGCAAATAAAACTTTATCTGGCAAATCTTAGTCAAATTTGAACACAGTGATGACACTCTTTAATTCAGTTTAGTCTCTGAAGTCCACTGCGAGGGGGGACCCAAGTTCCCATCAGCAAAAACACGTCGGTTTGCTATCCTGGCTCCAAAATGGTGGAATGAGCTCCCCATTGACATCAGGACAGCAGAAAGCTTACACATCTTCCGGCGCAGACTAAAAACTAATCTCTTTCGACTCCACTTTGAGCAATACAATTACTAACAAAGCACTTATATACTAACTAAGCACTTACATAACAAAGCACTTATATACTAACAAAGGACTGGCTTATCTAAAGCCAGTTGAGTAGCACTTAAAATGTTTTGGCTCTATGAAACCTAATGTACTTATATGATAAGCTTGTATCTTCTTGGTTGAATGCACTTATTGTAATTCGCTTTGGATAAAAACGTCAGCTAAATGCAATGTAATGTAATGTTAAACTGCACTGTAACTTTTATTCATTTTAATGTTTATTTTATTATCTTTGCTTTTTAATGACTGTTTTTAAATGCCATTTTCTTAATGTCTTTCATTTTTGTAAAGCACTTTGAATTGCCTTGTGTTGAAAGGTGCTATATAAATAAACTTGCCTTGCCTTGCCTTGCCTAAAGGATAGACTTCAATAGGTACCTTTTAACACTTGTAACTGGGCTAATTTACCCCATGTTAACAAATATCCTTTGGTGGGAAACAATAAGTGTGGATTTTGACTTTATGGCTAACTTACGTGATGCTAAAAATAGGGTGTTGCATTGTGTAATGGAAACTTCTGGAGCATGTAGTCGAAACACAATGAAACACGGGGAGAGCTTGAGCTTGATGGCAAGCACTGAAGATTTATTTGAAGTTACGGACGGAGAATTGACAAAGACATTTGCTGCAGCCAGAAGTTGACACGGCGGTATCCCAACCAATCCTCAAGATCTCTACCCCAGAGCCTTGTATTTAGCTGGTGACAAGAGAATAATCAACATTGTGCACAGATAGATCAGGCAAAGCAATAAGACACCTCTATCAGCTGACGCCAACAGGCAGGAATAAGGAGACAAAACACAAGGTTGCAGGCCTGTGCTCAGCGAGGGCAGTAAAAACTGATTAACTAGGTAAAAGTCAAAGTCAACTTTATTGTCAATCTCAAAATATGTTTGTACAGTACACACAGAAAATCGAAATACTGTTTCCCACAGTCCCGAGGTATAACAAAAAAACACACATTAAAATGCATACCATTGCTACGCTGACGACACGCAGGAGAGACTGAAAAGAGTCAAGGCAAGCTTATAAAAGTTAACAGCATTTAATTACACAAAAGATTCGGTGGTTTACAAATGAAATTGCAAGCGGAGACACTCTCCCCATGTCTTGGTCAGCCCAGGTCAGGAGGTGAGAACTCCTGATTCTTGGCTTCGTCTTCCTGTTGTCATCTGAGGTCTTCTCCTATTGGCCAGCGTCGTCGGGGGCGGGTCCAATGCAATTCCTGCCTTTTTTGTTGCTAAATTACATCCTTCTGGTGTCTGTGGTTATTTAAACACTCCCTGATAAACGTTATTCAGCGTCAATAAATGAGTGCTAATCCCAGTGTGTTTAGTGTACAACATCACATGTCATTTCACCTTCAATTCACGGTTTCAAAACGTTAGCCACATGCTAATGCTAACCGGAAATGAAGGATTTTCAGAATAAAACTGCTTTTAAGCTGACGGAATGTTTACACTAAATTATGCCATAAAACATTGATTTTAATTTCTAACAATCCCTCCTTTCACACCTTTTAAGGTGTGAACACAATACTGAAATCAATGAGTTCTTCATAAGACTGCTTTTAAACTGACGGTATGTTTTAGACTAAATTATGCCATAAAACATTGATTTTAATTTCTAACAATCCCTCCTTTCACACCTTTTAAGGTGTGAACACAATACTGAAATCAATGAGTTCTTCATCTGAACTTTGCATAGTACATAACTCATATCAAAAACATACTATCAAAATGGAATGGTTCAAATAACCGTCATCAAAAATACAAAAAATGCTTCGGTTGGTCTTCAACATAAGTTTTCCCTTGTGCTTAAACTTCTAGTTTTAACATTCAATATCACTTTTCAAAATAGCAGCAATTAGCTTGGTATTTGAACATTTCTTTCTCCCTCCTTTCACAGAAACAGTTCTCATACCACATTCAGTGTTAAGGCACTTGTTCTTTTACAAAATATGAGGATTAAACTATCTGAAAATAGCTAAATATTACTTTTTTTTTTTTTTTAAACAATCTTATCCTCTTCAGTTTTTTTGCATACACCCCCTTTTTCAACTAAATTTTAGCGCCATTCTATCGGTCTGTTTTTATCTAACTGTGTCATCTTGTTACTGTGTCTCTGGTGTAATTTATGAATCTCTGCTGGTTACAGCAGATATAGTTCTCCCCATCCACATTCTTGTTGGTTATGGGACAGAGGAATAATAATTCAGAACCTGCTGATATCTGAATCTTACTACTTGGCATATGTTACAAACAAAATAAAACATCTTCATGGTGAACTAAATAACATATTTCAATAGCTCGGAAATGTCTGATGAGCATCTGTGTTATTCCTAAATAAAATCCTTGTAATCTTTCTCAAATCTAAATATAACAATGAACTATAAGACACACACTAACATTATGTAATACAATTTCATTATGGATTCAAAAACAACTGAAGTCATGATGCTGTCAGAGTGTGGTTTCCTGAGTGTATCTGTCCTGTAAGGTACGTCATTCTCTGCTTGGATCGTGTGCAGAAATCCCATCAATTTCACCTGGCAATACTGCTTCTACCTGTCTATCATCAAGCTGAAAAATGAATGCAGAATTCCAACATACTGTCATCAAATGTCTTTCTATTATGAATTTAAATTAAATGTATATCCCCATAATAGCCTAAACAATAAAGTCCATGGCTTTTACATCTATTTACCAGGCTAGTTACAAGATGTTGTCTAAATTAAATTCTGTGTCATTACATTACTATGTTTTAGCTTAACTTAACTGTAATATGTTCTTTCTATATTTCAAACCTCAGTTACTCTAATGTCTGTTAAAATATTACAAAATAGTTTCATTATCACAGGTCAACTTCTTCTGTATTCTATTCTGGAATTACATCTCTCACAGTAGCCCCTTGGCCACTGCATCTGTGTTACCTGTTCAAAATGCAATCAATATTTAGAAACATGTCAACATTCATCAAACAGTATCTTATCCCCAGATATGGAGCAGGTTAATTCTAAAACTATCATTCAATGCTCAGTTTGAACATCTGGGTTGGGGCGGAAGGTTTCTTTCAATCCCTAAAAGAAAAATTTAAATTGTGAATCTTACAGCCA